TTTTTGTTTCCACAGTCCCCAATCTGACGAATTTCTCACCTCAAAGGTGGGCAGTTGTAGTTTTAGATCCATTTTTCCTATTTCTTCACTTTTTTTTTTTTTTTTTTTAACCGTTTTCACACCTGACACCATGTTTTAGTTCACTGTTTACTAATAAAAAATAAAAATACACTAGAGTTTTATTTTAACTTTCTTTATTGTATTCACAATGCACTTCAAACATGTTCTGCCCTGATGCTGATTCTCCAAGCCCTATTTATACAAAACATCTTTTCTAGAAAAATCAAGAGAATTAAAAAATAAACAAATCGTCCATATGATTCTAGAATGACACTCCTCTGGAATGAGACAACTAACAAAAACAAATCAATAATGAAACTTTTGGTGAATGCACAAGAAAGCCAACCTAACACAAGTGGTTTATCTGTAAACAAATTAATATTTTTTATTAATTACGATCAATTCAATATGATTTGATCTTTTGTGATTTGTTGGATTATTTGTAATACTTATTGAGGTCCATTGTTGTCCTCCTAGGTCATAATTGACTCTGATATTAATGTTTATGCATATTTTCTGCTAATGATTTTAACCAAAGAGCTTCTGTGACACCTTTAAAAGGAAAACCATATATTCGGCTTCAGTAGATGATGCCGCTACTGACAACTGCCTTTTTGTATTCCAACATATCACACATATTTCGAACAGTTTAAATAAATATCCTGTTGTGCCTTTTATATTGTTTATATCATGCATCTCCACCTTCTTAGTCAGGATTAATAGAATCACTCAAGAAATTAATATATTCCCAACTAAAATATTGTGTCAACTTCACATTGATTTTACCCTTAAGATATCTAAGGACCCTTTTCAAAAATTGCCACAACTCTTTATTATTCTTGTTTTAATACCTGCTCAAAATATTAACAGTGGTACTTAAATCAGGCTTGATATACATAACATAATATACATTAAATAGATGATTAGATTCCGGCAAGGGCTATCATGTTTTTCTTCTGAATTTAAACCAATCAAATTCAGTTTACTAGGAAGTGGAATGCTAACACAGCTGATGGCACAACAGTCATTCATATTAAATTTATGTAAAATAGTTTTCATGTACATTGGAACTGTACCTATATGAAAATTGATCAAGAGTAATTTTATTTTTGATTACCTTTTAATTTTATTACCCAAAAATAGTTTACTGTCTTTCAAATAAAACATAGAACAGTTATTTGCCAAATCCCTTTTTAAACTATTAAATGTATTATTATCTGCAGTGGCAAATACCATCTACAGAAATACATAAATAATTTTACATATTGCACCTTTGTCTAAGATATAAATACAGTGGTTAACTGATGAATTTTCAAACCCATTTTCTTTATGAACTTTCACTATTATTGCAAACTAACATCTAGTGGTTTGTTTTAGTTCATAGATACAAAGCCTTGCAAACTTGGTTAGGAGGTTTACTTGTCACACCTTGAGCCAGCCACCCTTCAGCCTTCAGGAACCTTCATAAAAATGGCTTCCTTCAATGTCCCATCCGGGAAAGCTGTTTTTACATCCATATGATGTATTGAAAGGGTAAACTGATTAAAAGGTTATTATAAACTAGAAACCTACGATTCTCGCCACCTGTGCAAAGGTTTCATTATAATCTACCAAGTAATGTTGACTAAAACCACGAGCAACTAAGTAAGCTTTGTATCTAAATGGTTTTCCAATTTCATAATTTTCAATGGAAAATATCCATTTACAATCCACTATATTTTTATATTCGGGTCTTGATACTAACGACCACGTTTAATTTTCCAATAATGAGTGAATCAATATCATTTGGCAGATCTGTTTCAATCATAGATTTACTATACTCATTATTTAGTTTAATGAGTTTATTAGGGTTAACATTTACCTACTTTCCGGGATTGTTACTCATCTGATTTAGCTATATCAGATTTATTAACCAAACCACCGATATTGACAAACTGCCACTTTCAGGGGAAAGGTTTTATTAGACTATCCAAGATGCTGTCGAACTCAAATTAAAATATCCGCCAAGAGGCACACAAACCCTTCGTTTGCTTGTCAAAGTCACGTGTTTTGGATAGGCTAACTACCAAAGTGTTACATTCATTTTTGACACTTTCTCAGTTCAGTTCAGTTCAGTTTATTAATAACCACTGATCTTGACAAACAATCAGAGGAAACAGCTTTATCATCAAAGTGTTTTACATTCACTTTTTCATAATCACTATTAACTACTAATATTGACTTACTCGAAACCCTGATTGAAAATCACTGGATAGTTTATTTCTATCTACCTATAAACTCAACAAGTTGCATAATTTTCTCCAAAATTTTGCCAATAGTGCAAAACAAATTCATTGGATGCAATTCACTGGAGGATTTTAATTTAAGTACTTTGGGAATCGTGATTATAGTGGAAACTGAATGAATATCTTGTCTCGACTGGGATTTGAACCCAGGACCCCTACATTTCCAGTGTAATGCTCTACCAACTGAGCCACCGAGACCTGTCTCATTTCTACCCAGTCGATCAAGTCTTTCATCAATTTTTAAGTTGTTAGTTTGTGACCATCGGCAACCTTCGGCGGTTACCGTTCGTTCTGGTATTTTTTTCGTTCGAATGCTTCGTCTTATGTTCGTGTTTTCTCTCGCATTCTCTCCTGAATTTTTTGTCTCATAAGTTTCATCTTCTGAATCATCACTAGCCTTTTCCTCGAGCCTTTTTTCTTCACTAGGTTTTTCTGTCTTTTCTGTGCTTTCATTTTCTATGCCATCATTGTCCAACTCCAATTTTGTTATGTTTCCTTTCACTTCATCGAAAACTACATTTTTTCCGAGAATTATTTTCTGTTCAACAGGATTCCATTATCGCAATAACCAACCATAATCAATTTGTAACTTCTAGCATCTAACTTGGAATTTCTGTCTTCTTTGGGTATATAGTTATAAGCAGTACAACCAAACAACTTGATTTTATTCAAATTTGGTTTTTCACTAAACCAAACTTCTGCAGGACTTTTGCTAGCAGAGAGACTCCTAGTTTCAGTTCTGTTTGTTAAATATATGGCAGTTCTAATAGCTTCGCCCCACATATTCTTATCTATGCTCGAATCAAAAATAAGATATCTCGCTTTATCTAATATTGTTCTATTGTAGCGCTCAGCTACACCGTTCTGCTCACGATTTCGAGCTATGGTGTACTGAATATTAACTCCTTTTTCCTGGCAAAAATCTTTTATTTCTGTTGAGACATATCCGTCTCCATTGTCACATCTGAGACATTCTATGTTAGTGCCAAATTTTGATGTGACTTGTGCAACATACTTTTTCAAGCAATCTTTAACCTCACTTTTGTGTGTCATAAGGTAGCAAACAGCAAAATGTGAATAATGGTCAATAAAGGTTAGGAGATACCTTTTACTATTAGGCCTATTCGGGTTTGGAAAAAGGACGGTTCTAGAACGGTTCAAAACAATCGTCCAGTTTATTGATCAACAAAATAACAACGACTCCACTATCACAAATTTCAATAATAAACTGTGCGATTTTTTCTGGACCGTTCTAGAACCGTACTTTTCCCAAACCCGAATAGGCCTATAATATGTAGGTGGATTTATAGGACCTATGACATCACTTGAAACACACTCCAAAATTATTTTCGCCTTTCTTTCTTCCGAAATCAATTTAAAAGGTTTCCTTGTCTGTTTTTCTTTAAGACATATATCACAAACTCCTGGGGCTGGATACTTGCACGAATGACACATTCTTCTATGGTCAAGCCATGTTGCCACAATTGCTTTTTCTGGTATTCCAAGTACTATAACATACAAGTTCCCGACAAGATTTCCTTCGACAAAAACCTTGTTATTTTTCAATATAAGCACTTTTTTCTCTTTTAAAATCACCTGTGAGCCATTTTCTTCAATTTTCCTCGCAGATAAGAGGTTATAAAATACGCTTTTACACACCCAGGCATTTCTGATTACAATTGGCTTCTTTTCCAAAGTAAACAAGTGAAGATCACCTTGTTTTTCAGCTTGCATGCACTCATCCTTTTTAACTATGTTAATTTTAAAGTTGCCACACCTCAGGTTACTCCAATGAAACAACATGTCGGTTCAAAGATTGAATATATTATGTTCTACATTAAAATAACAGTACATTGCCCTGTGTCACTACTGAATAGCCAGCTTGACCTCTTTTATACATAATATGCTTATTCTATCAATACCTGATAAATATACATACTGGGTAATTCAGCCCCATACTACACTACATTTATTTTTGAAAGCTTCCTGGAAGCTTTGTTCATTTCATGCATGAAATATGACAGAGTGAAAACAATGATGGCCGTTGCCAAAACGCATGCGCCAACCCAAAGTATTTGTTGGCAAATGCCGTAATACTATTGTCTAGGTACAGGGACGTTGAAATCCACTTGGTCGATGCTGTAAGGACCCCTTGTGTAATACTTCAGTTCATAGAGTTGCAACACCTCAGGTTAGTCCAATGAAGCAACATGTCGGTTCAAATATTGAATATATATATCGAGGGCCTCAAGTCAGAGCGGCGTAAGAACCATTTAGTAAATTTTACAGGAAACTTTAAAAACCTCCCAAAATTCGAGTTTTAAATTGAATCGACTGCAAGTTGATAAATAATATATTAAATAAAGTGAGGTTAAATAAAATTCATATTGAACAGTCAAGGTTACAATAGTTTTCTTAAATTGGTGCTATGCCTATCTGACTCGACGTGAATTGAGAGTTACAAACTAAATGCATAGAACGTATGTAACTTTGCGAAGGTATTTATTAAATAAACATTGAACAGAATCAATTTTGTAAAGGTATTTATTCATTAAATAATTATACATTTAACGGAATCAACTCGTAATTAATAATTATTATGCAAAAAAACTTACAATTTCTCAAAATAAAATAGGTACCTAAGTAGCCATTTAACTAAGAAGCGAAACTAAAAATTTCTTCGTGATTTCCGACGTAACAAATTTCATCATCAGAATCGTCATCAGAATTGTTGTTTGATCCTAACGGTTTTTCAAAATATAGGGCTTTATAAAATGCGTGAAATTCCTTCGGAATGACAGCGTCTTTTGAGTGACACATTTCTTGTAAATTTTGGAATTTTTTCTTACTTATTGGTAAAACGGTATTATACAGCGGCTTCAAATTTTGGTTGGTAGTTGAAGTTATCGATTTTCTTCCTAGTCTTGTCACATTCACAATCTTAAAATCTTTCCAGTACTCATTTCTGTACTGAAAACTGGTAGGTGTATCTTTCTGAAATCGTAGCCATTTAATCTCTTTCCAATTAACATTTTCGCCTTCTTCAGATTTCTTTGTGATTATCATTATTTTGTCCTTTAATCCTTTGTAATCCAAGAAGTCACTATGTGTCATTATGTTTACTCTGTAGGGCTTCTTTTTGTTTGCAAGTCGGAGAACATTTAACCAATCATTGGGCCAAAAGATTTTCGTATGTTCTGTTACACGTTCAATAGATGCGTGCATGGAGTCACACTCCATGTGCGTATGTCCAGGCTCTAAAAATTTCAAATCAACTATCTTAATATTTTCTGTTTGCTTGACAGCTTCTAATAGCATACAGGCTACTATCGAATTCCGATTCTGTCCGGGACAGCAATCAGAGTGAAGTACTAAGTGTTCTGTGTTTTGTGGAAGTGTTTGTATAAATTTCGCCAAGCAAGTAGCTATTTCGTTGGCTCCCCTGTTTCCTTCGTATTCAGGCCAAAAAAAGCAGTGACCCTGTTGTTTAGCAGTTTCATACACTGTAAAGTTAAATGTCGCCAACTACCTCTTATAGAAAACAGGTTTTGCGAACAGTAATGGGGAATACAAAACTGCTTCCAAGTCAAAGTTAGCTGAGACATAATGCTCATCGCGTTTTGCTTTCAGTGAGTCTATTTTTTTCTCTTCCATTGCTGCTATCTTTCTTCGAATATGAATCTCATAGTCATGTAACTTTTCTGCAGTTTTTTCATTCTCTTTAAGTTGTTCAAAGTGATGACACCAACATTGATCTTTTTTAGGGATGTGGAATCCAATGTTTTTCTTAATAAGGAGTTCTCTATAAGTAGTCTTTGAAATACATTTTTGTTTCAGTTCGGAGCAGTTTTCTTTGTACAACGTGTACATCTTTTCCTTATTCAAAATTGATTCCAGATATTCTTTTTTGGTATCTTTACGACACCAGCGAGCAGGTACCCTTGGAAAGGAATCAATGTGATATTCAGCAAACGTTATCGTATCATTGTTATGCTTAACTCCTGGATCATGCTTACCCCTTTTATATGGGGAAGGAATGCCAGCTACATTTCTATTCGCTTTTTCCATAGCTGTTCTTAACATTTTTTCTGATATATCCAGTGTTTCAAGAAAAAAAGTTTTACATACTTGATGTTTGGTGCCATTATAATTTAGAGAGTACGTAAGAGTGAATTGTCTTTTTGAGTTTTCTTTTCGGCCTCTGGTACATTTCTGTTGGCTGACATTGGCTGCAAGATATAATCACGCTGTCTACTTAAATCACCGAGTTCCCAAAATGCAGTGCAAATGTGTGTCTTAGCTTCATCGGGTATCGCAACGTGACATTTTCGATTACATTTACATTCTACTCCCATATATCTAGATTTACGTTCTAGTTTCATTTTTTTAGCTGTCGTTAAGTAGGGCAGCCCTAAGTTTCTTTTGGTTTTTCTCACAGTCTTCATCCATGTATTTGGGGCACCACGCTTGCACCTTGACCTCTTTTTATTATCATTTGAACCTTTCGCGACATCGATATTGTCTTCTAGATTCTCTGGGTTAGGTCTGTGAATTTCTCGATGAAATCTATCCTGTTCAATGGCATTATCTTCACTTGAAGAAGACGAGGAAGAACTTGGTTCAAATGGCGGGTCAGCATCAGAATCGTCAAAATCTTCCATTTCTACTAACTCTTGCAATGCCGCTTTATCTTTGTCTGTTTTCTCATCCTCATCTTCTTTGTTTACTTGGTAAGAGCAGGATTGTTGTTGAGAGAAGTTTTCCCTTGTGTTTGGTAGTGGCTGAACTAAAAATAATAATATTTGTATAATTATCTCTAAGAATGCTGTTGATGTGTTAATTTAAAATAATTGGAATAGGATTTCTTAGTTTTGTTTCTAGTTATAGGTTATAGGATTCCTATTTTTTACCTATTGTCTATACAGCTACCAACAAAATTACCCATAAAAACCTTATTTTACTCACCTATATTATCATTTCCTTCAGCTCTCTTTAACAATTTCATTATGTAGTGGGTTCTTGCTTTTCCAATATTCATTTTTAAATCAATGATAACGACAACGTACACCCTAACTATTTGCTTGTATTTACTAAAATAATAAATAAAACTTACAGCCAGCTGGTAAAGTGAGGTTAAAGTCAAATTATACGCCCCTCTTCTGAAAGAAATCTAGGTTGTTTTAAGGGGCGTATGTACATACGCCTGCCTGAATTTAGTTTGACATACTACCCAAAATGGGCGTATGTACATGTGCCCTTATGATCCGATACTAATCACATTTTTGGCGTCTACGCCTTACATAATTTCAATACTACGTGATATCGGCTCGTTTAAATCATACGCCTATCTGACCCAACGTGCTAAGTACTGAATGGAACCTATTGCGCCCATATCTCAATTTTGCAAAAAATGGTTTATACGCCTCTCTGACTGGATGCCCTCGATATAATGTTCTACATTAAAATTACAGTTTATTGCCCTGTGTCACTACTGCATACTCAGCGGGACCTCTTTTATACCTAATATGCTTATTTCAGGCCAATTACCAATACCTGCGAGTGATGCAGCCCGATACTACACTACATTTATATTTTAAAGCTTCCCGGAAGCTTTGTTCATTGCGTGCATGACACACAGAAAACAATGATTGCCGTTGCCGAAACGCATGCGCCAACCCAAAATATTTGTTGGCAAATGCCGTAATAATAGGTGGTAGACGCTTTTTACTCATTGGGCGTCGACCGGTGAGATACCACCATGCCAGAATTGAGTAGCGCTAAGTGGTATCACCACGTTCCGCTACTGCGCTGGCAGTCCGGTTCCAACAATGAGTAACAGATAGCATGATGGCGCCTCCAGGATCAAAATATTCCGGAGGTAAAATACCCGACCACTCGGATCTCCGGGCGTCGGGTGATCCTGGGGGTCCTTCATGCAAAGATATAAAGAGAAGATCAAAAACTCAACTCAGAATTGATTTTAGCAATATAAGAGGAATACGTACAAATATGAATTCAGTTCACCAACATCTTGAAGAACAAAGACCTGACATCCTTGTTCTCACTGAAACTAAAATCAGTTCTGCAACACCTATTGTGAACTATCTTTATCCCGGCTATGACCTACACCACCGATTTCGACATAATTTTGGGATCTGTGTGTACATTAAAAATGACCTTTCATGTCATCGAGAGGAGAACCTAGAACCAGCGAACCTTGATATCATATGGCTAAAATTCACCTCAAAGTCATCGACCAAGTTTATCTGCTGCCTCTACCGACCGCCATCAAACACCGAGTACCAAAACTTTTTCGCGACATTATCCGAACGCTGTGATAGTATACAGTCAAACTATCCACAGGCGGAAATTGTCTTTTTAGGCGATTTCAACGTCCACAATATACCCTGGCTGAAACACCACAACAAAACAGATAACGAAGGCAGAGAAGCAGAAGCTTTTGCCATAAGTTGTGGTCTAACGCAGCTTGTCGATGAAACTACCCGTATCTCAGAAAGGGGCGAATTTGCAGCGCTTTTAGACTTGTTCCTAACCACAAATCCTGACTCGTACACAATTCAAGTAGATGCTCCACTTGGTTCGTCCGATCATAAACTTATAATAACAAAGTGCGAAATGCTCATCCGACCAAGCCAACAACCACTTCCTCGTAAAATGTGGCACTATAAATCGGCAAAATGGAATGACCTAAAACAGTTTTACCTGGATTTTCCATGGCAAGAGGTTTGCTTTAAAACAGCTGATCCCACTATTTGCTGTAATGAAATAACACAAGTAATCTTATCTGGAATGGATGCATATATCCCACATACAACTAAACGTAGAGCTAATGCAAAACCTTGGTTCAACAGCCAGTGTCAAACGGCTGTACAGAAAAAACACAGAGCATATAACCTTTGGAAACGAAAACAAACCGCTCAAAACCACACAGAATTTATAGAAGCCAAAAATAGTTGCAAAATTACTATTGACTCCGCTAAAGAAACATACAATCAAAGAATAAAAAACAGGTTGCTGAATTGTCCAAGTAGTTCTAGGTCCTTTTGGTCTCTTGCAAAAGCTGTTGGATCTAACTTCACCAAGTCATCCATACCACCACTTACAGATAAAAACAATCACTTAGCCACAACATCAGAGGAAAAAGCCAATATGCTGGCCCAAATGTTTTCCTCCAACTCCAACCTAACAGTGCCAAACGGAAAAACTCCACCGTTCATTGAAAGGGTTTCCCATAGTATGCCAGAGGTACCCTTTTGTCACAGAGAAATACGAAAATCCCTTAAAAAGCTAGATACAAACAAAGCAATGGGTCCGGATGGCATTCCCGCAATAGTACTCAAAAATTGCGCCAACGAACTCACCCCAACTTTCGCAAAATTATTCAATTTGTCTTACAGGCAAGGAGTATATCCATCATCATGGAAGTCTGCCGCAGTACAACCCATTCCAAAGAAAGGAAAAAAGACAGATCCGTTAAACTATAGACCAATTGCTTTACTTCCGGTGATATCAAAAGTAATGGAAAGAGTTGTGAACAATCACCTAACCAAGTACTTGGAAAAGTACAGAATTATCAACGATAAGCAATACGGATTTCGAAAATATAGGTCAACTGGCGATTTACTTACATACGTCACTCACTTATGGCAAAAAGCAATTGAGTTGCGGGGTGAAACAAGAACAATTGCCTTAGATATATCTAAAGCATTCGACAAAGTTTGGCATGAAAATCTGCTCAACAGGCTCAAAGCAATGGGATTATCGCCGAAACTTTGCACTTGGTTTGAAAGTTACCTAAAGGACAGATCCATTTATGTTGCACTGGATGGCCAGAACTCCAACTCTTACCAAATAAATGCTGGTGTGCCACAGGGAGCAATCCTTTCGCCAACTCTTTTTCTGATTTACATAAATGACCTCATAGATAAAACAGTAAATCCACTTTATTGCTTTGCAGACGATGGCAATGTAGTCTCCTCACTCATACCACCCACAGGTCTTTCCGCACGTGAATTCCATCATCTTAGACTAACTCAAATATCGCAGATAAATAACGACCTGGAGATAATAGAGGACTGGGGTAACAAAAACCTTGTACAGTTCAACGCACAGAAAACCCAAGCAGCTCTGTTTTCAAAAAAGAACAGCACCGGTGAGCCAAACATCATGCTATCTGGAAGTGCTGTCACATTACAGAGTCAGTTGAACATCTTGGGGGTTACTGCAGAGACCAACATGTCTTGGCACAATCACGTGGCAGATATTGCTAAAAGGGCGTCCCAAAAGCTGGGGGTGCTATTTCGTACAAGACATCTGTACACACCAAGCCAATTGCTGACACTCTACAAAGCCCAGATTCGACCAACTATGGAGTACTGCTCACATATATGGAGTGCAGCACCCAAACATACCTTAATGCTTTTGAACACCGTGCAAAAACGAGCTATCAAGCTGATCAATGACCCCGCACTTACTCGTAACTTGGATGGTCTCGAACATCGCAGATCTGTGGGCGATTTATCTCTCTTCTACAGGTACTATCACGGAAAATGCTCCGAAGAGTTGGCACGTATGATTCCACCGAGAGTAGCACCTACCAGGCGAACCCGTCAAACAGACGGTAACCATGAATTTACTGTCAAACTAGAGGCACCAAGAACCTCATTATATCAGAATTCATATCTCTGGAGAACAGCATCGCTGTGGAATAAACTCCCTGCGACGGTTTTCCCTGCAGGTTACAACCTGAACCGTTTCAAGACCAACATACACCGACATTTCCGCGCACTTGCCGCTTCTCGAGCGTGATAGGACATTTCCTTGCAAGTGCGCATATCCGTAAAAAAAAAAAAAAAAAAAAAAAAAAAAATATGGACCGTTGCCACACCTCAGGTTATTCCAATGAAACAACACGTCGGTTCAATGATTGCATATACACACAACGTCAAAAGTCTTGGACCCCCCGGTATTTTGCAATTTATTTCATTTTTTCATTGAAATAATAAATTTTTGTTAAAGAATGTTTATTTCTGAATGTACTTTTTGAAATATCAATATCTTCA